TTGTTTTCTTGTGCTTTCTCTGTAGAAATGTTTGATTTTTACCTTGTATATCTTATCCTTGTATGTATCATTGTGTTTCAGAATTTCTAGTTCCAGTAGTGTTAGGGTCTTTTAACAACAGTGTCAATCAAATGGAAATCCTAATGTTTCCCCTTGATTGCTGTTTATCAAAGGCTGTAGCAGCTGTGGCCAACATTCATATTCAGATTCATTTTGCTTGCTTTTAAGATCATAGTTAAAGAGTAATTTCATTGTCTGTTCCTAATTTATATTAACTTTCCTTGTTTCAATCATTTGTTTTGGTAAGTAACTGTTAGAGGCATGTCTTCTCTCCCCTTTCCTCCAAATGCCATGGTATAGTGGAGTAATTAGTTGAAGTTTGAGGTGATCTGTTCCCTAACCCATCCTGTAAATATCAATGCTAACAACAGTGTCTTGTGTTTTTTTTCTTTTTCTTTTTTTTTTTTTAATCAATGTGCTTCTTCCTGTGTGAATAATTATGTGTCTAGAAACAGCCATGGAGTGATTTTGCTGTACTGAATGGGGGAAAGATTAATAGTGACATTTGGAAGGCAAGTATATTGTCAGATTTTAGAACCTTTAATAACTGTTACCCTTGTTTTTTGCATGGCAGTGGCTGTTTTTTCCCCTTTTATTTTTCCATGAATGTCATTCATAACCTAGACCAAACTGAATGGGGGTACTGCTAGGGATGTCTAGCTCACAAACATTGCTGCCTTTTCTGATCTTTCCACTTGGAATGGATTCAGTCTAAACTAGCAGGGCAACTGCCATGATGTAATGAATAAGATGCCTGCACTGAATGAAATGCAGCTTGAGAATATATGCATGCTTCTTTTCAACTTCAGCCAGAAATACTATCGCTTCTGTGCAGGGAGGATTTAATTTCCCCTTGAAATAAGAAATAACATGCTGGTGTACTTAATACTGTGTTAATAGCACTTAAGACTGTAGTAACAGTTCTGCGTTTATCTCTAGGATCTGCATGCAGCCACTGTGAACCCAGACCCAAGTCTGAAAGAGTTTGAAGGAGCAACGTTACGCTATGCATCTTTGAAGCTCAGGTACAATGAGTTCAGAAGTCTCTGTGGAATGTCCAGCTTCATTTTGTGCTGTGCTGTAATTTTTATATGATTTTAAGATTGATTTTGTCTTTTTTTTTTTCTATAACAGAAATGGTCCACAATCTGATGATGATGACTCTTGTAGTATCAACAGTGATCCAGAAGCCAAGGTCTGTAACAAGATTCACAATGGGATAACAATTAAAAATTTGCAATTGTGAGCAAAACTTGCAAGGTGCAGAATGTCTCCTAAGTTTTGAAATTAACTGCATTCCTCCTCTTGGCACAATGTAGATTGACCATACAAGACTAATTCCATCAAAGGAATTTGAAGATTTAAAGCTTCATTCAATTTGATTGGGAAAGTGTGACTTATTTTAAAATCACATGAGCCAAGAAATTGAATGTTACAGCTCAAGATTCTACTGTCCAACTCTAATAACTGACCCCTTGCACAACTGAGTTTTCTGTCCTGAGTGAGGGTTCTGTTGTTTGTCATGGCTTGTTAGCTTCCTGGTGCATTCAGTGACAGAATTTGCTCTTTGTTCTTGAGTTTGTCCCTTTATTAAGTACTCTTTCTTGTTTATGTGGCTGCTCAAACTCACAGCTAGTAACAAGGAGTTACTTTTTAGAACAAGGAATTTTGTATTTTAGAACAGAGAATGCAAGTTTGAGGATAAAATTCATAGAGAAAAATGAGGCCATTATGTGAGCAAGCACTGTAATTAAATCAGAGCCTTTACTGTTGTAATCTAAGGTTTTTGAGGAGAAAGCAGGAGCAGGTTTTGAATGCTTGTATGCATATCTCCAGATTTGTCTTGTTGATAGTTTTGCCTTGTTCTTGCATCCATTTTTGAAGATGTATGTGGTAATTTAAATAAGTGGTTTAGCTGGGCCATACACCTGCAATGACTGACAGGATCAGAAACTACTTATATGCAAGAAGACAGCATGTAACAGAGTTAATAATTGTAACGGCGTTAATGATATATTTTAGGAGAGAAAACAGACTGATCAGGGTACTTAAACTTCTTTGTCATCTTGATTACTTGGCTTGTGATGTTTAAATCAGATGTGAATAAATGTGTTTTGCTTGTCAGGCTGGCAGTTAAAAAGCAAGGGTTTCAGCTGTGCTTGTTACAGTGACAAGCACTAAATTTGGAACACAATAAATGGAGTTGGAGGAGTAATGAGCATTAGGTACCAGTCCTCAGAACCAGAAAGCTGTTCCTTTTGTGGTAAGCCTTACAGTATGGAAAGCAATAATAGGGAGGCAGTATTTTGATAAGTCTGACTCTTACCAGGTGATTTGCCCTGGCTAAAATTAGGAGCTCTTCCTGCATGGGGAACCGTGTCAGTATTTGTGTGGATGAATAGCTCGTGTCATCATCTCCCTTCCCTCTGGCTTGCTGTTTAAACTTCAAACTTTATGGAACTGATACCCCTCCAGTGTCTGTGAAATGGGTCAATGCCCAAAGCTTGTCTTGTGTCTGTCACAGCTGGTTTTGTTTCTCCTGTTTAGGCAAAATCATGCTGATGATGCTTAAAGGGGTAGTCAAAACTGAGTGCTGAAAGATTCACAGAAGTGATTGAGAGGAGCAAGGCAAGAAATAGAGGAGAAACTATACATGTTTGGGTTTGTTTGTTTTTTTTTAATCACTTGAGTCAAAGTACCTTACCTGTGTGCGTGGTCCTGTGGGTGAAGCTGAGCAGTTCTGAAGTTGCGTTGCAATAGGAGATGCAGTGGGCAGAGCTGTTCAGTGCATCTGCCTCTTCCCTGAGGATGCGATGAGAAGCTGCTGCATGGCCGTATCTCACAGGGATGTGAAGTGGTTTGGAAACAGCAGGGAAAATCCTCACCTGTGGGAAATGCTGTGGGCTATTTAATTCTCACATGGATGGGAAGGGGGTGTGGTAGGTGGATTCTTTGCTTATTTTACCCAAAACATTGTGAGACTGAAAGAAGTCTGATAGGATTTGAAACTGATGACCTGAGACTTGGAAAGTCAGATTTTTAAGATCCTTAGGCTCTCCTCTGCCACATGACATGCCTTAACTATATTTGATTGAAGCTTGCTTTTCCATGGCAGCAAGCAGAGATTTTTTCATTTCAGCATAAAAGAAGGAAGCTTTTTTGAACTCATTAAACTCTCTGTTGAAATAATTTGTTAAAATGAACTATGTTAGAGATATTTCAGAGATCATAAACCTATTTAAACCTATTAATGACAGTGGCCAGTACATTTGAAAATAAATTAAATTAAAAAATTAAAATTTCCTCCATGGCACTGAATAATGCTGTCTTTCAGGAAAGGGAACCATGCCACCTTGTGGAATGCTGAAGTAGTTGTCTTCCTCCAGATTGTAGCACTGCAGAAACGTCAGTTCTGGGAAGAGTGTGTCATATAATTCATGTAATTCTTGTAAGAAAAGTGGTTTATGTAGCCACACAGTTAAGCTTTCAAAATTGTCAATAAACAACAAATGTTGCTCTGTACATCATGTGCTTAAGATGCAGTTCAGAGCTGCATATCTTTGGCATCTTGGTGCAGGCTGTCTGCACAAGGCCATAAAAGAGAAGGGGAAGGCAGAGAAAGGGGAGAATGATTACATCCAGTTTCTTGATTTCAGTAATTTATTTAGGTAGGAATTTCTTGAAGACATGGCTCGTTGTACTTGACAAGGATCCTAATTCTGCATGTGAAACATGCACAACTGGAAATTAGTTTTGAATTGGTACTTCCCAGGAGACAGATCATAAGGCAACCTGTGCCTTCCTAATTGAGTTTCAAGGGAGGTAAAAAGATGCTTTTACCAATCCTGGACTTTAAATTACTCTGGGCTGTCTCTTTTTACATTGTTGTAAGATGTATGTGTGGCTATGTGTGAAGAAACTGAACTTCCTGAGAAACCTTTCTGTCCCTAGGAATGGGTTGAAAAATTGAAAGCTCGTGTGACCCTGTTTCTCCAGAATCTTTTCAGAATTCGCTTATTTGGCCTGATAGTTGGGGTTGCCTTTATTCTCTGGTTTTAAATCTAGTTTTCTGCTAAGGTTTAATTTAGTCATTGTGTTAAACATGGATTTTTTGTTCACATTAGCCTGTTCAGCAGAGCTTCACTTTCCAGCCTTGCTGGTTTAAAGTAGTTTCAGCTATATATCGATGTCTAAGAATGGGAAGAATGTCTTTATACCTGTGGAAGTACTAGGCAGTTGCTCCAAAAGTCTGTTTTCTGCTTTAGAAACCAGTCAGTGCTCAGGATCTCAAAAGAAAGGAGAAGACTAGTTCCAAGAGGGGTAGTGGTAGGAGATGCTGATACCAGGTATGTAAATTTAATTACTTAACTGTAGGTGAATGAAAACACAGTTGGAGACATGGGAAGTGAGTTGGTGATGAACTGTTACAAATACCTGAACATTAGGGATTAACCAGTTGAGCTTTTTGGAGTGATGTAGGGGATGTTTCCAACAAGCTGACTTGTCAAACCACTTGTGGCTGACGTGAAAGTGGCCTGTGAATAGCACTGTCAAAATAATATTAGAAAATACTATGTGCCCCTCAAAGAGTTAAAGTCCATCTGTCTGCTTCCTATGCAGGCAAGTGTTTTGGAGACATCCTACGTTTGCTTGCTCCTTGTCTTTTCCAGAAAGAAGTATCCTGGACCATTAGTAAATAATCAGCGTGTCTCCTTGGTGATGCAGATGAGTCTGATTTCTGATACGCATGAAAACTTAACCAGAGAGGAGGAGCTTTTGCCATCTCTAGTAATTCCAAGAAAGGATCTTCTTTTCACACTGAAGTCCGTAATTCTCTCTCATGGTCAGAGTAGCTTCTAAAATCGTTGGTGCAAACAGGAAGTATTGAACATTTTCCAGCAGTTTCACAGTTTGCCTTGTGCTTCATATAATCTTATCATGAGCACGTGAAAAACTATGAAGAGCCTCAGTTAAATTAATTTCAATTAATAGACTAAAATTAATCAAATCTGAGGAGTTTATTCTATCTTAAGTCTCCTTACAAAAAGAAGATTAAAACTAGAAGAGAAATTAGGCATCTTCAACAGTTTTTCTTCCAAAAAGGTACTACCTGGTTTTGAAGTAGGAATTTGTTTCTTTCAAAAAAAAAAAAAAATCCTTGGTTTTCATTCCCTTGGAAGTAGGATCTGTTACAGGGTAGAGGCCTAGAAGAAATCTTGAACCCATTCCTTTACACTTCTAGGGAACCACAGTATCCCTATGTATTAATTTCAAGTTTCTTAAATGCTTTTTTGGGGGAGGTTGTCTTGGCTAGTCTTATTGACAAACTGATTCAAGTATTACTTTCCTTTGATGGTCAAAAACCTTTTAACCTAAATGTTTTGCGGCCATTTTTTATCCTCTTATTCTATGTTTAGCCACCTTCTAGTGCATTTATAGCAGGCAATTATGTCTCTTCTTCAGCTTAGTTTTATTAAAGTAAACAAGCCAAGTGCTTTTAATTATTCATAATGAAGTCAGGAGGGTTGCCATCTTCTTATGAGTCTCTTTTTTCCTGACTGTTGTAGCAGCTCTGTGTTTTCTGTTTTTAATTTTTAACTATGGGCAATTTGTTTTTTACTTTGGGTGGAGATTTTCCAGCGTCTTGTAGAGTAGCTTTAAAGCGTCCATATTCTCTATTGGAAAGTTCTTGGCACATGATTTCGTTTACTTTTTCAACTCCTGAGAAGGTAATCATTTTAGTTGCAACTTAAGCCATAATTATATTCAATGTTTATAAGTTTACAAGAGTAAGAGGAAGTTCTTGTCTTCATCTCAACAATTTGAATAGCACCTTGGTCAGGAGAGGGGACTTGGTTGCTTTGTTTTGGGTTTTTTTTGTTTGGTTGGTTTTTTGTTTGTTTGTTTGTTTTTTGTTTTGTTTGGTTTTTTTCAAATAATCTTCTTGCCAGTAACTGAAAGTTTCTTGTGAACAGCAGAATTTTGTATTTTGGGGATTAGCCTCAACAGTGTGTACACAGTTCTTTTAACACTAAGCTATTGCCAGTGGAAAATTGTGCCTTTGGAAATACTGTTTTTTTGTATTGATGAGGTGGTGTGGAAATGCAGGAAAACTTTTACAAAATACAGGAAGGCAGGTTATGCTTAGTGCTCATGGATCTTCCTTAAATTATGTTCTTAAGTATTTTAAATCAA